AGAACATTGTATTATCATTGTTGTTGTACTTTTATTTATAGTAAGCTTGAACTGAGACATACTGCAAAGCACTTGCACAACACAAGATCCAGATTAAATGAGAATCTGAGAACTCCAGCAGTTCAGTGAGATGCAAGTCAAAGATTTGTAACTTATGTTGTTCCCAAAATCTTTAACACTGGGGAGGAACATAAAAAATTATTTCAGAAGAAATCAAAACAGTATATCACTTCTAATATTGGTGCATATAGTTAGAGGTGGGAAGTTCGAATCTTTTTACTGAATTAATTCATTTGATTCATTCACCTAAAAAGATTCGTTCTCAAGTGATTCACTTTAACGAACCACGAACGATGTTATTCCGCCGATCCGTCGAAGGAAATCAAACCGAACGTTTACGAATTTGAGAACTACCTATTTACTAGGTCAGGGATGGGGAAACTACGGCCCGCGGGCCATCTCCGGCCCGCGAAGCGTTGAAATCCGGCCCGTGACTGTCGTGAACATTAAACAAAAAATCAAGTGAATTTTTCATATTGTAGAAATTTCATATTTCATTCTTATTGACAGAGCGCGTCTCGCATAAAACAATCACGTGTATTATTTCACGAGCACGGGCGGTAAACGAAAACCGAAAATGAAGCTATCGACTGGGTGCGCGCGGTCCGACCGCCGCCGCAGTCAAAGTTTTGTCTTACTTCAAATCGCATGTTCGTACGCCGTATTTTCTTACTTACGAAACTACAACAATCAGCTAACAGACGGTGACATTTTTAAATCAGCAAGGTAAGATGTTATCACGTACTTTGTCATCACTTTTTACTTTCCTATCTGTATACAGATATAAGGAAAGTATAGGAATCATGATTTTTTTCGACCTCGAGTTTTCGACTATTTTCGCGATGATGTCTGTGTGTGTGTGTGTGTGTGTGTCTGTGTGTGTGTGTGTGTGTGTCTGTATAACGCATAACTCATGAACCGATACACAGAAAAACACCAAATTTTAAACTTAAGCTTTGTTTCAGCGTCCAATAAGCTGATTAGATTTTGGGCAGTGTCGGAACATCTGGGGGGGTACTTTATAGGTGGTCATTTTTATATTTTATGGAATATATCTGTTATTTACGTTTGGAGAAGAAAATTCTTTAAATAAAAGTTACTTCTAATATAATTATCTATAATTTTTGTTTTATGCAAAATTTTCCTAAAATGGTCCGTATTCGAGAAATTTGACAAAATGTAAAAAATATAATTTTTTATAAAAATTGTTCAAATAAAAGTTGTTTATAATATAATTCTCTATAATTTTGGTCCTATACATAATTTCTCTAAAATGGACCGTATTCGAGATATTTGAGAAAATGTGTAAATTTCGAAATTTGAAGAAAACTCAAAAACGGATAAAGGAAAAAACATTAAATTTTAAACTTAAGGTTTATTTCGGCCTGACGTGAAATGATTAGATTTTGGACAAAGTTGGAACATCTGGGGGGGTACTTTATGGGAGGCCGTTTTTATATTTTATGGAATATATCTGTTATTTATGTTTGGAGAAGAAAATTGTTCAAATAAAAGTTACTTCTAATATTATTATCTATAATTTTTGTTTTATGTCAAAATTTCCTGAAATGGTCCGTATTCGAGAAATTTGACAAAATGTGCAAAATTCTGATTTTTATGAAAATTGTTGAACTAAAAGTTGTTTGTGATATCGATTTCTATAATTTTTGTTTATACATGATTTTTCTAAAATGGTCCGTAATGGAAAAGTGCTAAATTTAAATTTTTCTGTATTTTCGTTTTCAATGAATATCTATAGAAAAATGTTTCGAGGTAGATGTATGTGTAAAATGTATATATTTAGTTTATCCTCTAAACATTTATAGAGATGCTGCAATAGGTTGTACAAAATAACCGGAAAATGCCTATAATAACTAGATAGGAAAGTCATGTGTTGGACACATCAGATTTTTGTGTCTTGAAATGATTTGATTATAAAATATGTTTGGGCGATGTATTGATGTTGGCTTTATTGTTTTGTTACAGCAGCAAAATGACGACCAAAAAACGAAAAGTCGATTCTGAGTGTCGAGTTTTTAAAGAAGAATGGTCATGGAAATATTTCTTCACAGAATTTAAAGACAAACCAATTTGCCTCATTTGTAATGAAACAGTTGCAGTTTTTAAAGATTTTAATTTGTCTCGACACTTCTCAAAAAAACATGCAAGTGCAAAATATTTATCTATGACGGAAGCAGAGAAAAAGTCTTTTGTCGAAAGGCAAAAAGAGAAGTTACGTGGACAGCAGAACATGTTCACAAAGCAATCTGTTACTCAGAAGGCTGCAACACTGGCAAGTTATGTTGTAGCTTACAAAATTGCTAAAAGTAACAGAACATTATCGGATGGTGAATTTGTAAAAGATTGCATGATGGCTGTAAGCAACATTATTTGTCCAGAAAAAAGTAAAGAGTTTCAATCTTTAGCTTTATCACGGAGAACGATAACTGATCGAATTGACGCCATCGCTAAACAATTATCGTCACAGCTAGAAATTAATTGTAACAAATTTGAATACTTTTCTCTAACCATGGATGAGAGCACAGACATGAACGATACTGCCCAATTGCTGATTTTTATTAGAGCAATTGATTCAGAGTTCAACATAACCGAAGAATTAGCATGCTTACAATCCTTGAAAGGAAAAACAACTGGAAAAATTATTTACGATTCTTGTTTTGAGGGTATTTCAAAGTTTAACTTGCCTATGGATAAATTATGTAACATAACCACGGATGGAGCACCCAATATGGTGGGAAGCCATTTGGGGTTTATGGGTATATTTTGCAAAGAAAATCCTAATAATAATGTATTATTTCTGCATTGTTTAATACACCAGGATGTGTTGTGTAAAGCAGCTATTGACATACAACCCGTTTTGAGTGTGGTTGTTAAACTTATCAACACAATACGTTCACGGGGTTTGATGCATCGACAATTCCAAGAATTTCTAAAATCCACCGAAAGCGAGTTCTCTGATATCCTTTACCATACTAAAGTGAGATGGTTAAGCTGTGGTAATGCATTTGAGAGAGTGTGGAACTTAAGAAAGGAGATTCAAGACTTTCTGACGGAGCAAGGTAAATGGGACGACTTTAAGATCATGGCTGACGAAAATTGGCTTCCTGATTTCGCATTTTTCACAGATTTGCTGTCATACCTAAATAAATTAAATACGAAGCTTCAGGGAAAGAATCAATTCTTAGATGAGCTTTGGGGACATTTAAAAGCCTTCAAATTGCAGCTTAAATTGTTTTGCAGTTGTGTAGAGAAAAATGAACTTACCCATTTTCCCAAACTGAGCAGCATATCACCTGTCTCAGACGACAAGTTAAATAGGTTCGCTCAACAACAGAAGAAACTGCACGAGGAATTTGAGAAGCGATTTCAAGATTTTAAGAGAATTGAGCAGTCACTAAATATTTTTTCGATGCCTTTTAATGTTAACGTTGATGAAACACCCGCTAACCTCCAACTTGAACTAATTGAGATGCAATGCAATACCCATCTGAAGCAACTATTTCTCAACACCAACAAATTGGAATTTTATAAGTCCATATCTAGGACACAATACCCAAATATAGTTGCCCACGCTCAAAAAATAATGGCTATGTTTGGTACAAGCTATTTGTGCGAACAAACGTTTTCAATAATGAAACTAAGAAAAAATTGTCTTCGTAATAGGCTTTCGGATGACCACCTTTTTTCACTGTTAAAAATTTCAGCATCACAAATGGAGCCGGCTTATGATGACATCATGCAGAAACAAAAACAGTTCCACATGTCACATGTCCCTACAAAGACCAGCGCTCCTCATCCTTCTACTTCGCAGACAACTTAAAAGTTTAATTTAATTGCAATTTCTTTCTTGTATTAATATTTTGTAATTTTGCACAATAAATTAGTGTTTCAGAAAATACATATCATAATTTTTATTTCAATAAATAATATAGCCAAAAAATCAACAACTTGGCCCGCCATATATTTCGTTAGTAAATATTGGCACGCGGAGGAAAAAGTTTCCCCATCCCTGTACTAGGTCGTCGAGTGCGTTCAGTCTGTAATGCGTAAGAAAGAATGTAATGATTTGAGTGGTGAGATGCTTAAGTAAAATAATTAATACCGGTTTTATTTTAATTTGATATTTTAAAGTATAGCGAATTAATATTTCATAAAAAGATGGAAATTTAAATACTATAATAGTAGGTTCATCCTTGTCCGTTAAGATAAACAGTAACACAATTTTTTTTAATGCTAAATATAGCCAAAACTAACGAAAAATTATAGATGTATGATTCGTCATTTATTGCTTTACTTATTTACTTTGATTTAAATTTATTTATCAGACAACGCCCATAAATTGTTTACCTAAGTTTAATACACCTCTGGTAAAGTGAGAAAAACATTACAGACACATACCGCCACCGCCTGTAAGTTCGAGTTCTTGTATTATGCTGTAGAACGTAGAACAAAAGCGACCGATTTGCCGATGCTGATTTAAAATACCGAATCTTTGAATCAGATCCGAATGAACGAAACAACCAAACTCGGAATTGGGCGTTCTTGATCGATCACAGAGCCGTCGAACAATTGACTCAAAAAAGATTCGAATCTTTTAAAAACAGGGAATTAATTCATTCGAGTCAGTGCACTGATTCGTTCTTTTTGAACGAATCGTTCGTGAACGACACACATAGATGTACTCTAGATAATTTTGTATTCTTATTAGATATTTTAAAACTATGTATATATACTATGTATTAAATGTGTATATTACTATTACTTTACTTTAGCACATACAGGTGCTTGCACCTAGGTGCTTTAACTTTAATTTATGTTAATTTAATTTTTAATTGTATGAAATGTATTTGTATCAAACAAATAAAAATAAATAATATAAATAAGGTTAAGACATATAAAATGTCATATACGCACTTTGTAGATTAAATGTTGAATGAAAAAGTTATATTATTTACAAAAAATAAACCTTATACTTCTGACAAAATTGTTGCACTTTAACATTTAGTGAATTAAATTTAACCAATATATTAAAAAACTATTGAAACTAATTTTATTTTCCAAAATTAAAGTGATTATGTATCCTAGACAAGTTTGTTCATTCTAAATATTATTTTCGATTTTATTTTTTACAAATGAAAACAGAGAACAAAGATTTTTTTTGTAAAGAAATCCCCATCCTGACATGTTCATTGTGAAAATTTAAAAACTAGAACTATCTAATCATTATGATTGATAAAATACTTGCATTAAAAATAATACAGGTACGGAAATCTGAATGTAAACCTTGTATTTTACAATGAATTGGATAATAGGACCATGTAAAACAAAGACCACTGAGCAGCACATTACATGTCATGAGGCATCCTGCAAGATATGTGCAGCTTCCTCTCCACTTACGCTTGTCCCTAATATATTTGGCTTGTATGGTCCACATTTTCAATTTCCAAATCTGTATAGCATAATGTTCTATAGAAGAAACATTACCAATAAAATAGATTTTATTTGATAGGTAGGTTACACAGATTTGGTAAAATACACAACAATGGGTAAACTAAAATCTAAATTTATTTAAAACAATAGCACTAGAATGTTATATTTTAAACTACACATCCACAGGTCTTGTTCCTAATTGTGATTGTATAATATCTGGATCATCCGTCCCTTCTAACACTGAATGCGCCTTTAACATTTCTTGTAATTTATTTATTTCAAATTTCTTCTTCGAATATTCATATCTACATTGTATCCAATAACCTAAAGTGATTAGTGAAAAGGAATAAACTGAAAAATTTACAGATTTAAGTGTGTGACTAGTAAGCATAAATCTTACTAATCCGCAGGAAAGTCCTCCTCCAATTCCATAAAGTACACTATTACGGAAACAGGGTATTTTTGATACATCTCTACCGAAAAGCATTAGAGACTGAAATTAAATAATTGGAATAAATGTTTTTTTAAAGTTGCCATAAGTACCTTTTCTTTGGGTTCATCAACCATGTTTACTTATTTTATTCTATTTTTATTATTATATTTTTTAAATATTTTAACCTCAAAAAAATTATTGACTAGTGACTACACTAATCAGCTGAGTTCTACACTAATTAGCCGAGTTCGGCAATTCCTGAATTTGGAGCTGAACAAGAGTGGGTTGAACATTTAAGGAAAAATGAACATCGTTTGCTGAAGTAAAGAACAATGTAAATTACATGCTATTTACCATTATAAATATCGCCTGAATTATGTTTAAAACTTGTGTTTTGCTACGCAGTCTAACTTTAAATTTAACTTTTATTCAGTTGAACAAAGAACAAACAAACGCTTTTGGTTCTGAAAAGTTACAAGAACATAGATACCCGAACACACTTAAGAAACTAGATCTATTTTTTTTAAATATGGGCCGGCTCGGTTAATTTTAAAACCTAGTTAGATAGTTTTTTTATGAATCTGTCAGAAAATTATTTTTATCTTTTATATTCATTATTTTAATAATGTACATATATAGGGTGTTTATTAACTGAGTGCCGATACTTAAATCACTCTTATCATAATTTTCTTTCCAAATATTTTCATGAAATTTTGTACACGTCTTTTAATCATTAAGGAGCATTTTTTGACGTAAACAGATTTTTAAAATTTTTACCCGTGACGTCCCTACGGGATTTGAATTGAATATTTTTGAAGAAAAAAAAATGATACGTCACTGCTTTTTTTAAAAACCAAAATTATGTTTGAAATCCTCAATTATTTTGTAGCCATTTTGGTTTAAAGATTCGTACTAAGTATCAGTATTCAAATAATAGACACCCTGTTGGTTTTCCTGTAAAGAGATTTATATATGTTGATCAATAAAGAATATTATTATTATTCCAGTTTTGAGGCGCCCCCTTAGAATTTTAATTTTAACCCGGAGCCCGGAGAATGATTGCCAAACCCAGAGACACCAAAATGAGGACTGTCAAAGATCGTCTCTATCAAAGGGCTTTAATTTTTGCAATTATTCAAATAGTAGATAATCACCTTCTGAAAACAAAATTTCAGATTGCTTTCAGTTAGATTTAACTCAAAATCGGTAGTTACAAATGGAAATAACATATATGCAATATAATTAATAAAATATATTATCAAAACGTGTAAAAAATTAATACAAAATTATTATACTGATTGTCACAACTTAAAGTTCTCCATCTTTTTCAATTTCTCTTTCCATTTTTGCAGCAAATGATGTAGGATCATCAATTAGATGTTCCCATTCTTTGTAATATTCTGCACTTGTAATTTTAGTATTCGAGATATTTCTTTCATTCAAGAAGGCCTTCCAAACCTAAAAAAATTAGTAAAATAATAATACAGAACATGAACATTGGCAATACTGTATAATTCAAATTTAATTTGAATAAAAATCAACATTCCCCTAGGGTTACCAGATGAAAGTTTCTCCAGCTAGGACAAATTTATAAAAAAATCCAGACAAAATACTGAAGTTTCAAAATTTCTCCTGAAAAAATAAGTAAAGTGACATTTTTCACATTATTTACTAAATGACATGGTTTTACTAATTTCATTTTACTAATAAAACACAAAACATTTTACAAGGTTAAACAAGTTTATTATTCTGTATTTTTTTGTTGTTGTTAAAGACTACTTTAAAATCCAGACGTTTATGCAAAATCCTAGTAAAAACATGTACATGTCTGGGCAAATTCAATCATCTGGTAACCCTACAGTCTCCCCACCATTTTTTTGCATTCAGTTATTTTTAAATATATTTACCTCCTCATCCTGATTCTGCAAATTTGGTACATTTCCAAGTTTTCCATGTGTAAATATTTGCATTGTATAAAGCACATAATAATAGAAATACATTTTATCACCATCTATTGCCTAAAAGATTTGTCATTTTAGTGTTACTTATATATAAAAACAAAAACATGGTAAAACTTTTGAATCACATTTAATAAAATAGCTTCAAATTACTATGCAAAGCCTAAATCTTGCAAAAAATTAATAACGAATTGTACAAAGTAGATAGTGAACAAGTTAACATTAGCAGATGCTTTTTTTAAGTAATTTATATTCATAAACATGCAAATAAAATTTACTTACTTGAAAAGATATAGAATCCTTGCTACAACACTTAAAAGGAAAAACATTAGTATATTTATGGTTTTCCATGCTAAAAAGCAATGCATTTAAATTAAATGGATGAAATCTTGAAAATCCACCATAATCTCTGGTGTCATTTGGTACAATGCCTAAGGTTGCCAAAGTTTTACCTACAAAAAATGTAACTCATTAATTTATTTATTAAAACATTTAAGCTCATTAATTTTACCTAAATAAAAATCTTCCCTATTCCAATATGAAAATGAGGAACAATTTGATTTGGCAACATGATTTTTAAATGTACTCAATGCTCCTTTACTTAACAAAATTCCTCCTTCCTTCGAGTTAAATTGTGTAGTCCAAAATATAACACTATGACCTAAATAATACTTGTCATTTGGATTAAGAGGTGCTAGATAATATCTAAGGTTTTCCATTATCACAAAGGTGTAATCATTTACAATAAAAATCCAGTCAGAGTTTTCTGTGTCGTGAAGTGCATTGCAAAGTAACACCCAAGAGGAGTTTCCTAGTTTTCTTTTAATGGAAATAGTTTGTTGTTTTGGAACTTTTATAAATTTGATTTCATTACAGCCTTTTGCCCAGGTATTTCCTATGGGTTTCTCATTTTTGTAATTCCTTAATAGGACTAGGCATGTAACTGTTGCTTTTTTAAAAAGAAAATCGGCTTCTATCACAGTTTTGACATTTTTATTGTAACGCAAAGTATCCCATATCACATTTTTTCTTTTAATATTATTCTCTAGGGACCATTTGTCATAGGACGGATTGGTTGAAAAATTAGTTTGATTTACTTCGACATTTACACAGTATTTTCCCACTAATAGGCCTATTACTATGCCTATTAAAAAAACTAAAACTCTGAAGTAAAAATGAACCATAGTGATTACATTTTAATAAATAAATAAAAACTAAAATACTAAAAATAAAATAAAAATATTTTCTTGAGGTTAGATGTCTGTCAAAATTTTGACATTTGACATGAACAAGAATCGTTCCGCTACTCGCGAGGTAATAAAAGTACACAAAGGAAATTGATAGGGGGTTGCGACATAGCCTTCCATCTTGTACGCTATTTCTTTTCGAAATAGTCATCGCGGGTTTTTATCTCATGAATCGTTCACATTATGAAAAAATCGTAGAGTGCTATAAAATTAGAGGGTGGAAATTGGAGATAGGGGTTAAAAAATAACCCTTACAGCTTTTTAATTATATCTCGAAAACGAAGTAAAATTCAGGTATAGTTAATAGGAAATTATTTGTATAGAATGCGATTTCCCATCAAAATAAATTATTTAAAAAAAAATTGATTTTTTTTATGTAAAAAATATTAAAAAGAAAGCAAAATATCCAATTTTGTTTCTTTACTTTTTTGTTTTTCTGTTTTTTGAGCAGAGATAGATATAGGCAATACTTTAAAAAAGTTTTTTGGATAAAAACGGACTGAGATATAGCCCCTTAAACTATTTTTTTTTTCGATTTCTTAGGCGTTTACCTTGATACCATTTTAATTCGTATATGTCTATATCAAAATTGACTGTTAATTAATAAAAAAACGTATTTTAAGTTAATTTGTTAATAAAAATTCAATATTTTTATGAATGTGTAAAACTATGATCGATTTATAAACAAATCAAACAAATGATGCGTTTGAATATCCACATCCGATGCATTTTTTACATCTCGAGCGTCTGTTTATCCACATCGGACACATCTATTACATCTGCATTTGTTTATCTGAGATGTGAATGAGATGTTTGTTCCATGCCAGAAAGTAGGAGTTCTGTGAAACCAAGTTTATCGATTTATCGGGTCGGTGGTGTAGCGGTCTAACGCGCTTATATTCATTTATAAGCAAGTTTATATGTCAGAGACTGCTGGGCTTCGAATCCCAGACCAGACCATGTGGATTTTTAATTAAATTGCATGGTTCGTTATAGGATTTGATGTGTGCCATATTAATAGAAATTCAATTTCTGTTGATATGACATACAGATTATAAAAAAAAATCGCCATACATTACCGTATAGATGATGGTGGGTGAGGTTTTTCGGGTTTTCCGTAACTGCAAGTCAAATGGCACCATCAATCATCTTTAAGTGGCCCGGAGCGCCAAGGCAAATAATAATAATAGCCGTCCCTTTCCCCGCACAAGCTCAGCTTTTGGGGTTAAAATTCACTCGTGAGGGGGTGAATTAGGGAGAGTATTATTATTATTATCCTGTGTTTATACTCACGTGAATATAAAAGTGATTAGTTTGTCTAGATCTCAAATTTAGGTTAATTTCTAGTTTCAAAAGTTCTTTTAACTTCTCATTTTTACTACATTTAGAGCGATTGTTTATTATATCTACATTTAAATCTAATCCTCTATCACGTAATAAAAAATTCACAACATCTCAGATGCATTCGATGTGGATAGTCAAATGCAGCATGTCACAACTTTGGAAAAAAAATTGTTAAATTTATAAATATAAATATTTTACAATTAAAATCTTATATGGACACGTTTTTACGTGACAATGCAACTAAAGATGAAATAGTATCCATATCAGTATACATTTTATCTACTCTTTATGGGGGAAAGCTAAATAAGACCTTAGAAACTGTCGCTTCCAGCTTTTCTGCAACTATCAAAAAGTGCAATATTTTCTCTTGCTTACATCCGATGCCACCAAACACCATAGTTTAAAAACATATTGCCAAATGCAGCAGTGGAACGGTAATCATTTAAACCCTCTCAACTGGGGTTGAAATAGTATAATTATGCAACAATCATGTATTAATAACCATTACATGAGAGTTACATACGCTATTTTTTCTACACCCGATAAATAATCAAGAATTATAAATATATTTATATTTGTATTGAACACAATAAACAGTAAATACTCGTATTTTTATAAAAAATTCTACAAAATTGTAATTAATGGTATTACCATAGATTTTTGGGGCAAAATATTTTGTACTGCATTTTCTGCTTTCTCCGATATGTGTGGAGGAGTGAGGAGTCGATGGTAAGTCTTCTATATCGCGGAGACATTTTGATAATATATCGAAGTTTAGCTATCTACAAAAATTTAATACATACTGATTTTGACAACTAAAACAATTACATAGGAACGACAAACGTCAAATGCACATTAAATGCTTGATTGAAAAATTATGGGTTTCTATTGATTAAAAATCTGTATCGTAATGGGCATCATTAGAAAAAATAAAAAGATTAGGATTGGCACAAATTAACAACCAGTGCCAGTTGCTCAAGAAGGTGGCTTGCTGAAGTATCACAGATTGTTGCTAAGAAAGTTGTGGTTTTAAAAAGTTAGGAATAACTTGTTGAATATTTTACAAACAATGCATGGGTGTCAATTGCAAAAATGTACGAGTGACAGAGATTAACAGAAGACGATGTTCTTGAAGATATAGATATCTAATTTGATAACATTATTGAAGAGATTTACACACAGTTTTACACATTAGTAAAAATACTTTTTTTTATTAAATAAAACTCAATTTTGTTGTAAAAAATAAGAACTAAAACGATATAAGATAAATCGATAAAAAATATGTAATCCACTTTTTTATGTAAGCAATGCTCAGAAAACGCAAAAATACAAAAACCAAAAAGTAACTTGCTAATTTACGAAAAAGTATTAGCGGTTTTTATAAAAATAATATTTTCATTGTGTTCCACATAAAATATTGAAATTTAATCAATCCATTATTCATATGTCGCAACCCTTTAGATATACCAACCATTCCCACCGACAGTTCTGTCACTCTCCTAATCTATGGTTCTGTCCTTGATGACAACAAAACGCCCTCCTAATGGTTTTCTAATCTTCACAGAGGGCGCCACACATAATTGTCAAATTCAAATATTTAAAAAAATTGTTCCAGAATTATTAAAAAATTTAATTCAAATTATGTCTGTTAATTATGAATCAGACTCGACGTATTGTTCAGTGTTTGAATCAACGGATAAAAAATGTTCGAAGATTAAAAGAAAATCCGAATCTGCAATTCTAGATGATATATACAAAAAAATTCAAGATCATGTTGTTAAGGAACAGCTATTGAACCCTTTCCAAGCAATAAAATACAAACAACAAATATCCAAAATGAAGCTTAATTCATACAAATTGAAATTCTGTGCTGAAAAGATCAAAACGTATTTAAACGGAATTTATAAACAATCTAAATCAGTTGAAGACATTCTGTTAAATAACAGTGATCCTCTTTGGGACTGTGGGATATCACAAGATTTAATAATGCTAAATGGTTACAAGAATGATTTAAATCCAATAGCGCTACCAGCTCAAACTGACACCCAGACTTTATCATTTGATGTTAATATGTTGTCTAATCAGCTATTTATAACAGAATTGTCTAAAAATTCTGCAAATTCTGTAGTGAATGGAGGACCAAGCAACGCAACCTATGTTAATTTATATGACGATTCACAAAACTGTGAACTGAATATTGTAAGTAGAAAATCTAAAAATAGTGATCTAATTTCAGCTGATGTAAGATGTACTGAAACATTGCAAAAAGATCATGAATGCGTCTCTGATCAAAGCCTTGTTAATATTTCCAATTTTGAAGAAACAATCTTAATAAATAATGCAATTACTGAAAATGTAGGAATTGAAGAAATTAATAATATTGGTAGTTCATCTTCATTTAAGTCTGATATGTTGTCTAATCAAAATTTCATACTGGAATCAACAAAAAGTTGTATACATAATACAAATGCCAGTCAAGATTTATTTACACAAAAAGAAATTAATTTTGTGGCAACAGAAAATGATAAAACTAACAATTCGACAGAACTACTAGAATGTAATTGGTTGCCAACAAAAGCGCTAAATCAAATGAATCTTGAATTGAAAAAACATTCTAATAACCGATTATTCAATATTGTTAAACAACCAACTTTCAAACGTTCTCAGCCTTTAAACAAAAAATTACCTAATATAAGCATAAATAGTTTATCAACAGAAACTATGAGCATAGATGAAACGGAAACAATGTCATTGGATGAAAGCTTAAATATAATTACCAGCGTAAATAGTAGTGATTGTAACAAAATGGATATCGATTCAACCCCTTGTTCAGATTCATCCGAGTACTACATCAAAGAAACTAATCCTTCAGATGATTTAATTTTCAAAAAACCATTTGTTATTAAAAGAAAATCAATTATTTCCAGCAGTACTCAAGTTCCTTCTTCAAGTCACAACTCTGATATAAAATTATCCACTTTTCATAAAAGTGACAAAACTGACATTGGCAACTTCAAGCCACTCGTAAATGAATGTGAAGAACTTTGCAAACTTACGAAGAATTTTTTAAACATTGTTGAAGCAAGCGAAGACGATAGTAAGAAAACTATAGAAGTTTTGAAAAACATCTCCAATCCTTCATCTAAAAAAGAATTCCAAACAGTTTCACAAATAGGTACAGTCTGTACAGAATATTTTAATAAAAAAATTAACAATCTGTTTTACAATATTGGTTCAGGTTCAGAAAATTGGGAAGATGCTGCTCAGAAACTTGACGAAACCAATTATTTGCATCAAGAAATTTCCGATTGGCTACAAGATATTCTGGATAATATAAGTAGCGAAGACAAGACAAAAACCAAGGAAGCATTTAATAGTTTAGAAAATGAAGTAGTTAATTGTTTTGATCCTAAAGATATTTCGGATTTGGATATTAAAAGTCTTTTCCATTCAAATCACAGACGTCTTCAAGAAATTTCAAATGAATTTAACAGGCAACTTATATTAGACGATTTTAAATCCACTACCAGGAACGAAGAACGTTTCACAGATTTAAGCTATTTTGATTGGAAACAGTTACTTTAAAATATTTATGTACTTTGTTGTTACAATTTAGTTCCTTTTTGTTAAAAAACAACAATGAATTTATCATTAAAGTGAAAATTATATGCTACTTGAAAGGAACGCTTATTGTAGGTAAATGTCGAACGATTTCGACAAATTCTTAATTTTTTCTTTATGTTTATGTATCTTAATTTTATGTTGTATTAACTGCAAAGGTACTTTTCGAGTAGCGACTTATAGCTAATGAATATTTTCGCTAATTTTTATTGTCAGAAATTGTATTATGATTTCAAATATAGAATATATCTGTTATGATTAAAAAATAGTTTTATTGGAAAATTGCATAAAGGCCTTAGAAAATCGTGGCATTGCAAAATCTTGTCACAAGTAACCTTGATTAAAAATAATAAAATAAAAATTGTCGTTTATTCTGTCCAATAGACTAAATAATAATAATAATAATAATAAAAGCAGAGAGTTCGGGAAAGGTTTTATTGGATGAATTAGTTCCGATGATGTAAAGGACTGGTGTAAGAAATGTACCAGCTGTGCTGAGTAATGGACCTCAGCGAAAAAGGAAGGCTCCCATGAAGCAATACAACGTTGGTAGCCCATTTGAGAGAATCGCCTTAGATATTGCTGGATCATTCCCCATGATCGAGAATGGTAATAAATACATGATGGTGGTTATGGATTATTTCACGAAGTGGGTGGAAGTCTACGCCATTTCAAATCAAGAGGCCGCAACTGTTGCAGACGTATTGATAAAAGAGTATCTGTCGATTTGGAGTGCCCTTGGAGATCCACAGTGACCAAGGCAGAAATTTTGAAAGCCAACTCTTCCGTGAAATCTGTGACATACTAGGCACAAAGAAAACCCGAACCACAGCATTGTAATGTAATGTAATGGAATGGTAGAGCGAATGAATAAGACCATTGGAAAATATCTGTCAGAAGTGGTTTCAAACCATCAGCGAGATTGGGATCAGTATCTTTCGCTCTTTGCAATGGCTTATAGATCCGCTGTCAATGAATCAACAGGCCAAACACTAGCAAAGGTCCTGTTTGGGCATGAGATGAGACTACCGTGCGACTTCGAGTTTGGATGCCGACCTGGAGAAGATGTAGCTGGTGAAGACTATGTGATCCAGTTACGAAGAAGAATGGACGATATGCATCAATTGGTCCGCTTGCATCTTCAAATCGCCAGTGACAGAATGAAGAAGCGATACGATACCCAAGCCACAGAAGGATGTTTCAAGGAAGGCGACAAAGTCTGGCTCCATAACCTAAAAGGGTTATTCCCCAAAGCTTCAAAGGTCTTGGGAAGGTCCGTATCTCATCAAGAAAATAATTAATGATGTCATTTACCGTATAAGTAAGATCCCGAACGGTAAACCAAGGGTAGTGCACCAAAACCGGCTGGCGCCATTTGAGGGTGACTGTGAAGAGGAAGAAGAAGTAAACCAGCTCCAAGAAACACCTGTCTTTGAAGAATTTATGGGTGCATATGGAGGTACCAGAAAAGCAAGATATGGTGTTACAACCGAGCAACAACAAGACCTGCTCACGGTTCCATAGCACTTCTGCCAACATCTACGACGCTCGAGGTCTGGCATCTGTATTCCGGAAGAAGTTTGGTCGATTGCCAGAACTTCAAGATCGGTTACCAGCCCCTGGAAAAGCATTAAAACTTCTAGATGGATCGCGTTCTTTTCTACTTGGCAACAAAGAACACCTTCCGAGATCGATCCACCTATCAGGATGTATGGGAAGCATTACTCAGTCTGAGGGAGCATGTACTGGAGTCCAATATACAGAAACTAGCTATGCCAAAGATGGAGAGCAACCAGCTGAATTGTATGATCATTAAAAACATGGTGGAAGTAATCTTTCAAGATACCCTGGTTGAAATACTGGTCTGCAGCCATTCTCCCAGCGTTCAAGTTATAACGAAGACTGTGCCTTGTTACTTCCATGTAACTGGAAATTGTAAAAGAGGATCCAGTTGCAAATACAACCATTCAGTTTTAGTTCCAGGAGGAACTATTTCTTAAGGAGGGGGCAATGTCATGAAATTCCTAAAGCCTACCCTGTGTACGCGCGACTTTCAGATGGCAACCGACTCGTGCTCGAGGCGACGGAACGTTCAGGAATGCCTGCCGCTGACGCACTAGAAACAGCGGAGAGTGCCGTTTAGTCATAGAAATGGAATTTTCGAGAGCCTCTAGTGTCTTCTAGTAGCAGAGTCGGACTAATATAAATAGCCGACGTATCGAGGCACAGTTTAGTTTAGAATATTGGAATGAAAAGTTAAAGTGTAATAAATAAATTAGAATTGTTAGTGTCTAAGTATTATATAAATTAAATAGTACGTCTGAAATAAATTGTAAATAGTGTTTTAAATAAATTAACTATAAATAAATTAGACTATCGTTACAATAAGTATAAATCAACATGGTTTCATGAAAAGTCGTTTAATACTTGCTTGTTTGGGGTTCTATGACTGCGGATTTTACATCCATTCGCCTATCTTTATTGTTTTTAGTCCTTATTTTGATTTTACAATGTTTTATTTTCATGTAATTCCTACTAACTAAAATTTGTAATATAAGTAAATTATATTTTTTTCCCAATTTTTTTTAAATCATATTTTTTAAATTCCCTTTTTGTTTTTTTAAGTCGTTTAATAGTCACCAACCTTCTGACCGTTACCCAATCTATTGACAACAGAGCCCAAACTGATGTAATTTACACAGATTTTTCTAAGGCCTTCGACAGACTTGATTATGGCATTTGCTCAACAAACTTGTAGATTTTGGATTATCTCCCCCTTTAATTTCACTGTTTCAAACCTATCTATGAGATAGAAAGCAATATGTCCAGCTCAATGGTTTTAGGTCTGCTGAATATAGTGCTTCTTCCGGTGTTCCACAAGGGTCGAATCTGGGATCCCTCCTTTTTATTATGTTCATTAATGATATTGCAGATGTTATAAAAGTAAATCTCCTTTTGTATGCCGATGATCTAAAACTATGCTGCCTCGTGGAGAAGATAGGTGATTGCGAGAACCTCTCAGCAAACTTAACACGGGTTGTTGAATGGTGTTATCAAAATAACTTGTCACTAAACCCGGATAAATGTAAAGTTGTGTCATACAGTTTAAAAACGAATATCCTAATCTTTAATTATTCAATAGAAAACGTTACCCTTGAGCGACCGAAAACATTTACTGATCTTGGCGTCACGTTTGACACTGCACTATCATTTAATAAGAACATTGATAATGTTGTATCCTCCTCCTATTCCATGTATGGATTAATTGCACGTAGCAGTACCTAGTGATTTTAAAGAAACCTCTACCTTATAAACTCTATTTTATGTTTTTATAAGATCAAAGTTAGAATATGCTTCAGTTGTGTCAAGCCTCTTTTATCATTATCATATATATCGAATAAAAGCAATTCAAAGACGATTTTTAGAACTGCTAAGCCTGAAAACTGATGGCATTTATGTTGTAATAGGTACACTTCACTCTGAATTACCTGTAGAGTATTGTATTATAAATAAATAAATAAATAAATAAATAAATAAATAAATAAATAAATAAATAAATAAATAAATAAATAAATAAATAAATAAATAAATAAATAAATAAATAAATAAATAAATAAATAAATAAATAAATAAATAAATAAATAAATAAATAAATAAATAAATAAATAAAATTTTGCAGAATTTTGACTCGATAACAGATTACACAGCATTCCTCACACATTCCATTACTGCCTATGCTATTTTCCGGATTCAACCATTTTACAGCAGCTGTGAATACACTGACATAACAGATGAACCTATAAATAACGCTGTATCGAATTTGTCCACGACAATGAGTATTTATTTCAACTGTAAATAATCGAGATAAAGTAAACAGATATATTTATTTTAGGCCAAAAAGGAACACATTTATATAGATATATAAATAAATAACAAAACATTACAAAAGTGCAATACAACTTTTTATACATTTATCCATTTATGTGCATAAAGTAATAAAAAGAAACCCAAAAACATTCAAGAGGCGTCGCTTTGGTGTGCATCAAGGTTATACTATAAACAGTAATTTGTATTTTGCAATATAGACAGTGGACCGGATTTAATTTGCATGTACAGGTAAAGGTTCTAGATTTCTAAATTGTCATTTCTTTAAATTAACTCATTGTTTTGTATGATATCTTTAATGTCCCTGTAGATATCAACGAATTCTTGGCACCATTTTAATGAGCATAAATCAACTTTCATCTAATTTAACTTTCTGTCTGTTACCGTTTAGAAAACAGCAATACTGTCACTATGAAATAGTATGGACTCTGTATATTTAAATTAAATCACCAATCCACCATGTATTAGTAAAAATTATTCAATAAAACGAAAAATACTAATTCTCTACTAAAAAAAATTAACAATAATTACGGTTTATAGTAGTATTTGCTAACCTCTCATTAATGCTGAAAAACCATCATGATATGTCAAAAATAAATTGATATAATACTCGATATATTTCTTTATATTGGCCAGGAAACTTAAAATCTAATTTTTTAGGAATACTTTTTGTTGAAATCAATACGATTCTCTCCAAAAATATGTTTAGTAGGGTTTTATTATAACCATAAAATTCGTTAGATTCGAAAGTATGCTAAAGCTGAAATGTAATTTTAGTATCAAAATATACAATATTTTATCCTATTTGGGATATTGGGTTGACACTACGTGTAATTCTTCGAAAATGATATATATTCGTTTCAAAAATATGTTTGGTTATCATAACTTAAAGAACCTCTCGATGTTTATAATCGGTTGTAAAGAAGTTTTTATTTCATAACTCAAATATTATTAATTTCCATCATATTTATAAATATAACGACAAAAACTGAGAAGAAACGATCTCTACAAAATCCATTATAATCCAATTTAAACTCATCTTAGTACAAAGTTACTTCATTAAAAATATTTTTTCATTCAAACATTCTATAATAACTAAAGGAACTATAAACTTCCTAAAAGCAGAAATTGGTAACGAAAATATATTAATTACTGCTTGTTATCGATCACCATCATCTAACGCTGATGATTTCTTACAAATTTTACAAGAATATTTTGAAGAAAATCAGTCAAAAAATACGAATACAGCATTTTTCTTGGAGATAAATATAAACATTTTAGAAAATAATTACAATAAAACGGAGTACTTGAATATACTAAATGAATTTGGATACATATCAATGATAAACAAACCTACTAGACAAAAAACTTGTATAGACCACATTTTCCTTAAACCAAAAAAATATGAGTCGATTAATATGACCATCCAAATAATATTTAAATCAAACATTACCGATCATGATTCAATTATTCTGCAAGTCGTTTTTGAGGATGAAAGAAAAAATCAATTATTACAAAATATAAAGAATTCATAGATTACCCTAAACTCATAGAATTATTTAAGAACAATTCATGGGACTCCATTTTCACACTAGAGGACCCAAATATTGCAGCAAATAATTTTATTACGGAAATTAAAACAATGATAAAACATTGCACTACAAAAAAGCTATGTACACGAAAAAACACTGGCTTTGCTCACAAATAGCCTATTAGAGTTAATTAATAAAAATAATTAAATGTATAAAAAAACGATCCTACAACCTGAAAATATTTTATTAAAAGACGAATATACGTCATTCAAAAATAAACTTACAAATGAAAGAGAAATAAACAAAATTATTATAAAAAACAACTTGAAAAAAATAAAAATAATTCAAAATATTTGTGGAACACGGTACATGGACTTTGCGGAAGGAAAACTAAAAAATGTAATATTGAAAAAATTATCAATAATACTGAAGTTTTATTAACTACTAACATGCAGATAGCTAACGAATTTAACAAACAATTTGTCAACTTCGGGAAAACACTTGCAGAAAAAATTAAAAAAGACGCTAAGTATAAATGCAAATCAAAAACTTTATCTAATTCAATGCTACTAACACCTACAAATTCTAAGGAAATATTTAACCTCATTAATGTTTTAAAAAATAATAAATATCCAGGAATTGATGAAATTAAATCAGAGCTTTTAAAAAAGGTATTCTATCATATCTCAGATCCATTAGCTTACATAATAAATAAAAGTAATGAAAAGGGAATATGGCCTGATGCATTCAAAAGCTCTATTGTAGTACCTGTTTATAAAAATGGAGATAAAACATCTGTTGGTAACTATAGACCAATATCATTGATTAGTCATCTGGCTAAAGTTTTAAATAGATATAATCTTTTGTCAAATAAACAATATGGATTCAAAGAAAAGACCTCAACTGTGGACGCTATTTTAAATTTAACAAAAAATATACACAAATCGCTGGAAAATGGGAAATCTTGCTTATGCCTATTTATAGATTTAGGTAAGGCTTTTGACACGGTAAGTCATCCGTTGTTAATCCAAACCCAGAGATAACCAGGAGATGTAACTACTAACAAATATCGTGCGGCCGTGAATAAGACATATTCTAAGGGACACAGTAGGACATAATATCCGCTGTTGTCATTGTTAGTAAAGTGTATGTATTAAAATATTCGCTCAAGAAAACGATTCACTTCCCACTCTTTTGTCACAAGGCTGAATTTTTCACAGATGAAAGGTCATGATAAGGTAACCCTTATTCCGGAGTTAATACAAAATTAGAGTGTGCAGAAGGGCATTATCATCAAAAATCCAGATATTGATACCACCGAATAGAGAAAAAAATACTCATTTTTTGATCAAATGCACAATAAAATCTTTGTAGGGAGTAATTGTTCATACTTATTTAAAAAAAATAATTTACATTAGCACTTACGGCCGAAAAAAAATATAAACGTAAATATCTTGGTTTTAGCCCTTCAAAAATTTAGTTAAAAAGTCGTTTTTTTTAAATATACCACTCATTTAACAAAAAACGAAGGCCTAAATGAACAAAAATCATTCTTTATAAAATTTTTGCTTATGTGTTGACAAGGTAACAGAGTAAACACCATATTTTTTGCTTCTGAATTAACAAAGATATAACAATAAACGATGAGAGATGTCATAGGTTTATGCTGTTATTAATTCTCACCGCCAAATTTATCGACTCTCAGTGTATCTTTCTCTTCACTTTCAAACGTAGCATAGCTCTGTTTCTCTCTACGTGCCGGCTGATGTATCACATTATTGATATGGTAGGATTTTTCATTTTTTTTTTATTATAAAACTTCTCGTTATGTTCCATTGGGCAATGTGTCATATTGTTATCTGTTTTTACTAAAGAATTAATAAGTGTATGTGTTATATATTAAATTACCTAATAAATTGGGAAAAAATATAGACATTTTTGCATCTTTATTATATCTACATTCATCCTGTTGCAGCTGAATATATTTGGGTAAGTTATAAGTTTTCGTTTAAAATTTTAATTACGGATTTGTTGCTGCAAGTAGCAAAGACAAAAATGATATCAAAATAGGAAAGCCCAAAAGTTGCATATCATTTAAAGAACATATATTTGTAAACATTATTTTTAGAAATAAATTTAATGTTCAAATGATAGATGTGGTATTTGATCATTATAAAGGACATTCTATCAAAAATACAACACGTCAAAAGAGAGGATTTCAGAAATCAATTGATATAGAAATTGACCGACCCAATATTTCACTTCCGCAATAATAGAACTTGTTTATTCATTCGATATTTAACAAATTTTTTGCTAGAGCAACTTCTTCAAAACTCGCGAAAATCAATAAATATGGAAAGAATTTTGAACCATCAAAAGACGATTTTTTAAATTCAAATCACGAAGACGCTAATAATCGTATCTTATTGCACATCCAAAAATTCGGGGCATTCACGCTGCATTATTTATTGTAACGATACAGATGTCTTATTAATTTATTTTAAGAAGTTTTTGACTAAAGTTTTATGGTTCAGAACAGGGCGAGGAGACTCAAGACGATTTCTAGCAGTACATTATTTAAATTTGGATGAAAACCTTCTAAAAAATGTGCCTGCTTTTCATTCTCTGACCGGTTGTAATACAACCAGCTAATTGTCCGGCATTGGGAAAAGAACCTGTTGGAAAACCTACTTTGAACACCATTACTTTTTGGATGGATTTGGCATTGATCAGTACTCTGAAAACATATTCTCTAATCTTGAAAGAATTTTCATAAAAATTTATTCAAAACTGCCAATGTTACTTCCATTAACATTTTGAGGGGATTATTGGCCTCTTCAAAAATCATCGCTAAATTGCCACCGACTGAAGATGCCCTAAGACTACATTGTTTAAGATGTAAATTTGCAAATGCAGAAAAAAAATATTTGCTGTATCGGTTCCTGCACCTGTATGGCATAGCCGCTAATATTTTGGAAAATGTTGATTCGTGTGGTGAATCTGATTCTCTCATTAGTTTGAAAGTCGTGTAATTATAAATTTTATTATTATTAATTTATGCTTTATATACTTCCTTCCATTTATTATTATTATTATTATAATTTATTTATATTGGGGATTTATTGTATTTTGCAAAGCAATAGCCTTACTGTTTATAATTGATACTTCAATAAATAGTTTATATTTTCTTATTTTTCATTTTCCGATAAAAATAAAAAAAAATCTTGAAATAATTAATACACCCTATTATTCATAGTGGATAAATCAATAATCCCTGTATAAAATATTATAAGAGAGTCAAACTGATTGCATTCATTTCAATACTGAGATAGATGCATAAAGAGTCGAGAGGCTCTGCCTTTAATGTTTGCTTTCTAGTAAAACCATGACATCACTAATTGTTTATTGCTATATTTTTGTTAATTTAAAAGCAAAAAATATGACGAAAGTACTTTTACCTTGTCAATACATAGGCGAAACTTTTATAAAGAATAGTTTTTTTTCATTTATGCCTTCGTTTTTCGTCAAATGAGAGGTATATTTCTAAAAGAACATTTTTTATACAAATTTGTAGACGGTTGAAACCGAGATATTGACGTTTAAATTTTTTTTCGATCATAAGAGCTAATGTAAATGATTTTTTTAAATAATTATAAAAAAATACTTCCTACAAAGACCTAATTGATCATTACAACAAAAAATAGCCATTTTTAACCAAATTAGATGTAATTTCATTAAATTAGATGTAATAATTTTCAACAAATTCCAAAACCTAGTGATGTTAGATTGGAAGTGGCAACAGGGCTTACACCGGCATGGACATTTACGTTATGTAGTATAAGCTCGCGCAGTTATTCATTGATAAAACTACGTAAAATTCTTCACTCTATCCCTTCTCTTACTTCTCACCTTTCGTCGCCTCGTCCCGCGTCTAGAAATAGAATGTATACAGTACGAACTATTGATGGCACCATGAATATTATATTTTATGAATGACTGCTTATATCTCTGATCCAAACCCTAGAAGACGTGGGGATCAGGGGAAACGTTCTAACTCTTTTTAAAAGTTATCTATGCACAAGAAACCAAGTGGTAAGAGTAGGGGATAACATAAGTGAAGAAGCATCTATTGAATATGGTGTACCACAGGGTACAGTCCTAGGGCCTATTTTGTTTAATCTGTATGTGAATGAGCTGTTTCACTTAGATACAACTGGTGAAATCATAGGATACGCAGATGATATTGCCATTTTTTATGAAGCAGACACTTGGAAACAACTCAAAGCAAAAGTAGACACCGACATTAAGGCAATAAAAAAATGGTTCGACCATAAGCTCTTTTTACCTTTTAGTTGTAACGCCAGCGGAGTAACAGACTTTCAACAAAATAACATTGAAATTAATGGAAAAAATTTTGGCATTAAATCGGTTGTCGAAATGAGGTTAATATTGAGAGTAACTTTTCACTAAGATAAAATATGGTATTTTGTACAGACCTTTCAGATACTTATTTTGTTTTCAGATTGTAAAAACAATCGAATTTTAACTTTTTACAACCACAATTATGGCCGTTATTCTTAATTTATCTATTACAACGTTTAGTACGACTTAAGTTACGCCATATTTAAAATATTTCAGTGAGTTGGTGAAATAGGTTCGAATAACAATAGTTCGAAACTAACGTTTTTTGAAATTGAAGCAACCCGTGATGGCTCCAGGCCGCACAGGTTAATTGTAGAAAGAGACAAAAATACAGACGATGCAACATCAATTAGAAACATAGTAGACGGGTAGACGGCAAAACTTCCGAACAAAAGAAAGGAAGTAGAAAATGAGGGAATTGTGTGGTGAAAATTTCAAACTGGATGAAAGACTGAGATAACAAAGAAAAATGAACATTTTGTTCTGGAGAAGATGAGAACAGAAATGAAAAAGACGCAATCAATATTGAAGACGAAATTATTGAAAATTCGAACTTATTTCACCAGCGGGGTTTATTTTTGGTAGAAACCGTTAATTTCCACAAAACCATTTAATTTACAATTTTACTTGATATATATTATTCTTAAACAGTAAAAATATTATTCAATCTTTAGCACGACTTTTAAGCGAAAAATATTGATTTGCAACCCCACATATATTATTTACCCAATTTTTTTTTTACATAAGCATTGATTAATTGACTCTAAAATAATACATATCACATCGAGATTACTTTAAATTCGATTTATTATTTGTTTCGTCTAGAAACTGAATTTTCCTCTCACTTTGAAAAATCCGAGCGAGTTTCTGTTGTGTATTACGGAACCGAGGCCCACGTAATTCTCCAAAAGGATGTTGTGTTGTAGGATGATGCTGTTTTCTTTCCATTTTTGTATGGACAGGCAAATGTGTTCGATGAAAAGGTCCAAGTTGTATATATTGCGAATTTTTTCATCTGTACAGTCTAAAAACAGATCACAGCTTGATATATGTTAAAAATTAGTAATAAATACAGAGTCCAGTTATATTAATTACTTTTATGTTTCGCGAAGACAGTAACGGGCAACTCAGTAATTCACTAATTATTTAGGTTAAAAAGTTTTCTTGTGCGAATCTTCTAAACATTCCAAATAATCTTCAAATTTCGTTTTATTTTTGACTACATTCGTTTTTACACCTTTAGTTTTTTAAAGTATTTTTAAGTATTATTTTGGAATTGTTAAACAACGATGAACAATTATGAGACTAATCCTGTCAATCATAAATGAGCACTTGTCTAGTTGCAAGCATTTAATTTGTATTTTGTTAGATAAATACATAGATAGAGTGGGGATGGTATTTGCGAGCACGCGTTTTAAGAATGAACCAGTATTTATGACTACAACGCTTGCTTTACACTGTTGTTACACTTCAAAATAGATGGCGTACTTTCCTGGACATAATCTTCAACTACAATAGTTGCACTCTAAAAAAAGCTTTGAAAAGCTTTGGTTCGTTTTAGATCCTTTTGCAAATTTAGAATTATAAGTACCCACAATCTTTGTACATAGACTCTCCTGTAATAATTTAGCAACGTGAATGCTTGCAACTCGTCTTTTGTAAACAAAGTTATTCGTTGTTGGAGTTTAAACTAGAAGAAAAGAACGAAAAAATTAAGTTGCGAGTTTCCAGAGTACTATTTTCATGGTCCTGTCAAAGACAAACTAATTTTCAATGCCTTTACCCAACTTTAAAACGTATGATATAGCTTATAATATAACTGGACACTTATTTATTTAAATTGATGGGACATGTGGTCAACTAACCGTAAAGTGGTGAATTTAAAGATACTGGCAACTTAAAAAACAACTTTCATATGAATTATTTTGGTTACAACAGCAAAATCGCACTGCTCCAGAACTTAAAGGAATATTGCGGGAAAAAACATGGGGATGCAATCATAACTTATGGGGCTGTTGATTAATAATTAAAAATACGATACTAATACACTAACCTTTATGAAAATAGAGAGGATGGTATGTAAATGTCAAAAAAGGAACTTCACTATTAAAAGGATTCCATTTTGAAGTCAAGGTTTCCGGTTTGTCTTGCTTAAGCAGCAAACGAATTCCTCTCATATTACGATCTCTGGAAAAAGCAATTCGTTTTTTTTTATAGAATTGAAGAAAATAATACCCTACACAAAATGTATAAAAAGTTAAATATTAGTATTTCAATAATTGTAATCTTTCTTTTCCATTTGTTTATTGCCCTTTTCTTATAACCTACTAGAATGCTCATTTGAATACATTTTGTGTAGGGCAAGTATCTTGCGCACAAAAAGACAGCTTGCAGTGGCTCAACAAAAATATTTCACAGTTTGAACAAAAAGTACCTATAGTACATGCAATAAATACATTTTGTTTATGTACAAAGATATCAAAAAGAAAACATAATAACTATTCTAGTGCAATTTTGCATATTTTGTTCAATAAAACACTTAATAAGAAATAAAATACATAATTCTAAAAAAATATAGAAAATGATTAAAATTAAGTTATTTCAAAATATTTGTAAATTTTTAAATGTTGGCTTTAAAAAACAGTGAAATAAAAATTAATGAATTTGTTTTCATTTATAATTTTATGAATTTTTTATTAAGAGTATATAGTAAAAGTAGAGGAACACAATAAGAGACTGCAGTTAAGAAACAGGTTCGCCAATATACCATTCCAAGTATGGAAAACATACCTTTTAATAATAATTAAATAATTAATAATTAAAAGTCATACATCATTATTTTTTTTATTCGTTCATATCCAATGAGCTAGGGTTTATGTAACGTAACACAATAAATGTCAAACGTCAGAAAATGTATACTCTAAAGATTATTAAACGGGTTGGCATCACTCCAAAAGTCCATGTCAAAATCAATGACAGGATGGTTTATTTTTGAATTCAAAAATAGCTTCAAGTTCGAGGACAGTTGAAGAAGAGGCATGAATAATATGTCGAGCCATAAGAGTAATAAGGATCGACGAAATTAATAACATACAAAGAAGTAAAATATTTTTATTTCAATGATTTTTAAAGCAGTGAAGGAACATTTTAAACTATTGTTAAAAAATTCAGGATAAGAGAAAATTATTTAATAATTCCACTCATAGAAAAATATAAAAATTCAGTCATTTTGTAACGTAAATACAAAACTGCACTTTTTTTAGAAATGTTTCCAAAATAATGATGCGGTGAGATAAAAATCCTTTTTAAGTTAAATATACCTAGTTTGATTAAGGTTTTCTATATCTGTCTGATTGTCGTTTTTAGGCATTCTTTTGAATAAACAATTTTCCAATAAGCTGGATATTCCATCAGCAAATCCATTCATTTTTCTGCATAAATATAAACACAAAAAGAGGTTATAACAAGGGGCGCTAATAGGAAAAAGGTAGTTGATACTGATCACTATTTTTTGTTTCGAATATTTTAATAATATAGGAGCATTTAATGTATTAAGAAGAATCTGTAGCAACTACCTGGGAGTTTAAAATGTATCGAAAAGGTGATAAAAATAAGTTTATTTACAAGTGATACAAAAAACTAACGGTAGGTATCTCTAAATTCTATCTAATTTAACACAATCTAAAGTCTAATAAAGGCACATTAAAAAATATTACTTACGGTATAAGTGACCCATTAGGATAAACTAAGTTACCAATAACAATTCCCTCTACGTCGCTGAATTGTAGTTTTCTGCAACCCAAGCGTCTCAGTGCAATAAAATCATACTTAACTAATATCAGATTCTTGGCAGTCAACATCAACAAGCGTTCTTTGTCAGTATCCCAATGATTGATTCTATAAAAATAAATTTTTATACAGCATGATGATATGAAACCAGTCTGTGCAAAAAACAATTTCTTATGACTCATAAAAAAGTGCAAGATACCTGTATTGCCTTGAAAAATAGATCGTATGACGTGCAAATTGGAGTACGTGGTATTACGAGGGTCATTCAATAAGTAAAGAGACAAATGGCTATAGCTCAAAACCGGTTTATTTCAATCTTTAAAAATTAAGGCTATTTTTCAACATAATCACCCCCCACAGTTATGCACTTGTCCCATCTTTCTTGCAGCTTCCTAATTGCCTTGGCGAAGAATTCTTTCGATTTACCGCGAGCCACTTTTGCACCGCTTCCTTAACTTCTTCATTGTTAGCAAATCTTTTTCCACATAGGGCGTCTTTGAGTGGTCCAAACAGGTAAAAATCAGATGGGACGAGATCGGGACTGTAGGCAGAATGAGGTAAGACCTTCCAACCCAATTCTTGAAGCTTATCACGGGTCATCTGGGCTGCATGAGGGCGGGCGTTATCGTGCTGAAGAATGACTCCTTTTGACAAGAGTCCACGGCGTTTGCTCCTGAGAGCTGGTCTAACTTTGTGTTCTAGCATCTCAGAGTAGTATTGGCTACTGATAGTTCGCTGATCTTCAAGGAAATTGCAATAGACTGGACCCTGAGAGTCCCAAAAGATGGTCAGCATCAATTTACCGGCGGAAGGTTGAACCTTCAATGTTTTGCGAACTGGAGAGCTAGCTTGCTTCCACTCCATACTCTGCCTTTTGGTCTCAGGGTGGTAGTGATGGATCCAGACCTCGTCTCCTTTAATCAAACTTCGTTGCTTTAAGTCTTGACTAATGGAAAGCCTTGATTCTTTTGGGAACCCATCTAGCACACGTTTTTCTGTACTCTAAATTGTTCTGAATGACATTGTGAACAATTCCAACACTTACTTGAACTTCCTTAGCTATCATTTCAACAGTAATTCTTCTGTTATCACGAATAAGTCCGTTGATCCTCGATTCCAACTAGGGACTAAAAACTTCCACTGGACGTCCACATCGGGGTTCATCACCTACACTTGTTCGGCCATTTTTAAACTAATCAACCCACTTGTAAAAATTCGCACGGTTCATACAACTTTTACCGTACAGTATCAACATTCTAGAAAAAATTTCACTTGCTGCTCTTCTACGGTGCAATCTTCTAGTGGACTTGCCATGGTGAATTGAAAACTTTGAGGTTATGTTGACATAAAATGATGAAACAGCTGATCAGAGCATATACCAAAGTTGCCAACTAACACCCCTGACAAGATTGTACACATTCATTGAATAGTTTTAAAATTATAGAATTTGTCTCTTTACTTATTGAATGACCCTCGTATATTTATTTAGGTAGGCATCGCAAAAATCGGTGTTTAAATATAAAAAAATCTACGTGCTTCAGGATTTTCTTCCACAGGTACCGATTTATGAAATATTATATTATTTTCCACCATATTGTATGTAGAAGATCAAAAGTAATTATGATTTGATAATTCAACTCTAAATTTTGGACTGTACTATATAAAACTGTTTATTATACATAGAACCAACTTACTGCGTGAGCAAAAAAGATGCATATACTGGTCCTTCAGACTCGTCTAACAGGTGAGCGGTACATTCTTTGACTGCCCTGTCGATAACACCATCACGAAAAGTAAAAAAATTGTTGGGGTCTTCTTTAATACTGATTGCTGGCTGTAAGCTCTTTTCGTTGGCAGTCACTGGGGCCGTTGTTGATGTCGCTGTTTGCGGTGGAGTTTCATCTTTGCTTCCCTTGGAACTCCATATTGTTTCAGATACTAAGTATCAAGGTAAAAGTAGGAATAATTTCAGTTTGTAATGTTGTGAGTAAATGAAGGATAAGGGCGATTAAATATAATTTAAAAATATACTAAAAGGCTTGTTTTAATTGGTGAATGTACGTCAGATTTATGTTAATGTATGTCAACCTTTTTGAAGCCTACTCATCTGTGGAAAAGTGATAAAATGATTTTTTACAATAATTATGAAGAAGTGTTTCAATGATGTCTCATCAAAGCAAAATAACTATTTGAAACACTTTTACATTTGTATATAATGGCTATGTTTTTACTTATGTTCTGTTCAAACGTAAGTTAGACGAAAGTTACTAATTTTTGTGGCAAAATAAGCCATTCATGATTGTAAATTTGCTTTTAGCTTTTACTACAACTACTTTGAATAGTATTTTTAAAAGTTCACTACATTTTTATTTGCTATAAGTGTAATCATGCTTTTTATTGGGGATTTATAATTGTTAGATTTTCACTCAAGTATCAACAGTATTAAATTAAAGTCGTACCTATGAAAAAAATATTTCGTTCAAAATTCATAAAAAAATTTGAGGCGGGAGCAAACAGTATCGAAATTAAATTTGATATACCTACTGTAGTACAATATGAGTTTATGGGAGTTATATGAGTTTATAGGAGTTTTATGAGTTTGGATTTGTTCCAAAAAAGTGTTTGATAAGAAAAAGGTATTTGAGAGAGTTGCAAGGTAGGTGTTTTGGTGAACCAAATATATTCAGGATATACAGTGTTGACCAAATTGGGCCTAGATGTGTAGGGATCTTGAAAACTATAGAATATAGAGAAATGGTTAAATGGGAAAAATTTTATACGAATATATTTTTTCGTGGCCGCCTTAGTTTTAGGCAGTACATCAAAGGCAAACGAGCTAGATACGGTATAAAGTTTTACGAGCTCTGCACAATAGATGGTTACGTGTTAAACATGAAAATTTATAAGGGCCATTCTGAAGATGTCGCAGGAATAACAAAAATAGAATCATTAGTATTTTCTCTAATGCAGCCGTACTTAGGCCGTGGTCACCATTTAGTGATGGACAACTTTTACAACAGCGTCAGTCTTTCCAAGAAACTTCTAAGCAGAAAAACGCACACTACTGGCACTCTACGGTCAAATAGGCGCGGTAATCCGCAAGCTGTTATGAAGAAGAAATTTAAAATATGTATGGCAACGAAAAGGTAGCATTTATGTTACAAAGTGGCGTGATAAGCGAGACATCCATTGCATAACAACAAAATATCAACCAAAGCTGATAAATGTTAGTAATAGATTTGGAAAAATTCAAGAAAAGCCGGAGGAGATTGCGAGATACAACGATTTTATGTCTGGAGTTGATCGTTATGACCAGATGACTAGTTATTATTCATATCCCCGTAAATCTATTAGATGGTACAAAAAGGTGATGTTTCATCTACTAGATATTGCAATATGGAATGCTTATTACGTGTTGAAGAAGTATGATAACAAACTAACACTTCTTGAATACAGGGAAAAGCTCGTCCAAGAACTGCTTGGTATACCTTCTGACTTGCATGATGGGAGGAAACTGATACATGACGGACCTTTGCGCGGTGGGAAGCGTAAACGACCAGATAATGCAGTACCAGATTTACCAAATATGCATTTTCCAGGTAATATTCCCAATCAAAAAGATCCTCAGAAATCATTCCACAGAAGATGCAGGGAATGCTTGAAAAATAACAAACGGAAGGAAACGAAATATATGTGCAAAACATGTCCCGACCAACCACCGCTCTGTATTGTGCCGTGTTTTGAATTACACCATACAGATAGGCAGTGATAAGCAATTCATCACATTGTTATACCAATTTTAGAAGACTAAAAATAAATGGAAAGAAGATGCGTCATGTGCCGCTTTGTCCCTAATGATAAAAATGCGTGATCGCCTTTGTTTTTTTCTATAAAAAATACCATAAAATATAATAACAAACCCATCGCAACTTGTTTCACCGATCTATCTCTAAAGATTATAAAAATATGGTAGTGGCGATATGGCATCACCCTCGAAATCCTTCATGTCCGCGAACGTGATAATGAAAAGAGGTGTTCCACAAGGATCCGTACTAAGCCCTCTATTATTTTAAATATATACGAATGATCTTCCATCATATATGAATTCAAATAATGCCGAATTACTAACTACCATCTATGCAGATGATACCAATTTTTCATATCACTGAAATAACACATCTGACATAGTTATCAAAAACTCTAAGATTATGACTGAAACTAAACAATGTTTGATAGCAACGAATTATTTTTAAATCACAATAAAACTGGAATATGTGTCTTCAGGTTGAACCAAACTACTAGTGAAACAATGGACACTAAATTTCTCTATATATTTTGACACACAACTTACATGGAACTATCAAATAAATAACTTATGAAACAAGTTGGCAAAATTCACGTTTGCTCGACGTAGAATATCAAATATAGTTCATACAGAAGCAACAATAACAACTTATTATGGCTTATTCCATTCCAATTTAACATATGGGATTCTAACTTGGGGAAATGCTAGCTTCACTTCACTACAAAGACTTTTTATCTTAAAAAATCAGCAGTTTGCTCTATTCTGCTGGTAAATTATTATAAACCATGCCGACCACTATTTAAGTAACTTAGCATAATGACCCTGTTTTCACAAATAGTATTTGAAAACTTGCTAGCCATAAAAAATAATCTGTCACTTATACATACGATACCAGAGGGAAAAATCAACTAATCCAAACGAGAACTAGAATAAACAAGTCCCGAAAAATAGGCATTTTATTCTATAATGCACTTCCGCCCCACATCCGTAATCTACCAGGAAAAAAGTTTAAACATTAAATTAAAAAGATATTACTGGACATGTATATAACACTAATGATTATTTTGTAAGAGTGAAAAATGTCACCTAATATTTTTAATATTGTATTTTTTTTATATATTTTTTATTACTATTACCAACCAGGATCTTTTAAAATCCCATTTTATTTTAAATTTTATACGAGTATGTTAATGTATGTAAAATGTGGTGTATTTTACCACTTATGTGTACTGACGACTATGTAAACATGTTTACATATGTATTACTGAGAATAAAATATTTCTAATATTGATAAATGTAAAGTCGTAAGGTTCAATAAAACAGCTAATATCATTGTCCATGATTATGTCATTGCAGGTTCTGAACTAAGTGTTGAGCAAACTATAAATGATCTTGGTGTTATTTTTGATAGGGACCTAACATTTAGTACAATTATTATTGATTCTTTTTTTTGTTAGTAAGGGCAAAGTATATTAACCGTTGAGTAGCGACATAAAGCGTCGGTGCCTTTGATCTTGGGTGGTGCAAATTTTCTTTCTCTCTCTTTTGACGTTATTGACGGAACGACACAGTAAAACACTGCTCGAATTATGAACTGGTCTTGAATGTGATGTTTACACTGCTCGACGTAATTTGAAGTAAAACTCTTTTGTAGTTTACATTTATAGGCAGTTTTATATTTACGAGTAGTAAATATAAAAATATACAGGGTGTTATTGAAATACACGTACATATTAAAACTGGGTATTGCGCAGATCCCCACTGAATGTAGAAAAATATTATTTTTTAAAAATACCCTTTATTAAGGGAGTTATTAATTTTTGAAAATTAATTCTAAAACAAATGTACTTCACTGATATGTTGAGGATGACCTATATAAATTAGGTTTATTTACCTATTTTAAACATCAACAGTAATTAATATGCAAGTTTTTGTCAGATGATAAGAAAACTAGTCTTGTAAGAAATAACCATGTTGCCAAGATTTTCGAATTAATTTCTATTTCCGAAGACTGGTTTTTACCACCCTCGTTATCAAAAAACTAGAATATTTGATAAATGATTGTTTTTAAACTATACATTTTTGAAACTATAGATTATTAAAATTTTAGTTGATTTACGAATCTGGCTAACACGAGCGCGTCATTTCCAAGTTGGTAAAAAGTGTTGTTACGATTACTTTTAAATATTTTTTTACGATGCCACTATTTACGAATATTGAACTAACGGATATAGTGCTGGTTTATGGGGCAGCTGGAGAAAAATGCTCAGCAAGCACAAATCCTGTATCGCGAACGGTTTCCAAATCGGAGAATTCCGGACTGTCGTACGTTTATTTCAACTGTTCAGCATCTAAGAGACCATGGAAAATTTGAGAGTGTCAATGCAGATCGAGGGAGAACAAGAACACAAAGAACATTGGCGGCCGAAGAAGAAATATTGGAAGCTGTTGAAAACCGGCCTCAATTAAGTTGTAGAAGACTAGGTCTTGAAATTGGAGTGTCCTCATTTGTTGTGTGGCGGACACTTAAAGAACAAGGTTTACATCCTTATCACATCCAAAAAGTTCAGGCCTTATATCCAGGTGATGAAGAAAAGAGAGTGGAGTTTTGTGAATGGATGATTCAAAAATGTGTTGATATTCCTGATTTTCTAAAAATATTATTGTATACTGACGAGGCTTCATTCACTCGTGATGGCGTGTTCAATATGCACAATACGCATATTTGGAGTGATGAAAATCCTCACGCCATTAGGGAAACTGGGCATCAAAGAAAATTTTCAATAAATGTTTGGGCTGGCATAATAGATCAGTATTTAATCGGGCCTTATGTTCTCCCGAACAGATTAAATGGGCTGGGATATCTCCACTTTTTAGAAGATATTTTGCCAGTACTCCTAGAAGAGATACCGTTACAATTAAGGCAACGGATGTGGTACCTACTAGATGGCGCTCCTCCTCACTTTGATTTAAACGTACGGCAGTTTTTGAACATTAGATTTCCTCAAAAGTGGATAGGCAGAAATGGACCTACTAAGTGGCCTCCGAGATCTCCGGATTTAAATCCATGCGATTTCTTTTTGTGGGGTCACATGAAACAACTGGTTTATAATGAACCTATTAATAGTGTTGAACAATTAACCAATAAAGTTAATGCGGTAGCCGAGGAACTACGACAAAATCCAAGACTAATTTCTAATGTTCAAAGTTCTTTGGAAAGACGATTGCAAGTGTGTGTAAATAATAATGGACGGCATTTTGAACAATTACTGTAATAAACTTTATTTTGAATTAATTGGTTTTGCTACGGCAACAGTGCAATTTCTATGGGTAAGTTCAATTTCGATTTATTTTACTTCTTTAAATATGGAAACTAGTAGGTCGGAAAAGGGGACTCTTCCCCAATATTTAAATTTTAGAATTTGAAGTTAAAATTGGTGCCAATCGTTTTTGGTCATTACATACTATTCCCCATTTTAATATGTAAATGTATTTCAATAACACCCTGTATATCACTTATAGCACATGCATTTCCTGGCATAATGAAAAACCCACAAAAACCCAAAAAAAATAAAAGAGCACTAATAAATCTACAACAACGAATTCCTATATCAGCTGCCGGATTAAAGTGAAAGGGGTTGTTTACATCTTTAGAAGACGTCTCGCCTCTCTATTTCGCGTCGGCGCTACTCAACGGTTAATATACTTTGGTAAGGGGATACCTCAGGGGTGGTCCCATATAAATTTGGTTAAAATCTAATAATTGGGTCCATGAGAAAAATCCTCAAACTCTTCATTTTTGATGTATGTTTAGCGATAATTCTTTATCACCTTGTCCGATTTCTATAATTCATTTTTTGTTAGTAAGGGTGTACCTCAGGAGTGGTCCCATATAAATTTGATTAAGATATGGTGATGACATCTGCACGATTTAAAAGACGGTTTTTTAAAATTTTTAATATTTGTATTAATATATTTTTGACACTTTGTTATGCTGTATTGGTGACCCTGCAAAGACTGTTATCATGTATGCTTGCAAATAGTAGGGGAGCCCAAGAGGGGATTTTGGAATTTACTCAAGTGCGACAGATTAATATAAAGAGGGTTACCTTGCACTCTGTTGAGTACTTTTACCATATATAGGGCAGCTTATCAGAATAGTAAAACAATCGATTGTTAGAAATACTCGTGCGTCAGATTAAGGTAAGGTGGGTTAATTACATGCTGAAAAGTGTGTATTTCGATAATCTGACGATTTGAGAGTGACGCAAGGAAGAGGAAGGGGTAAAAAACTTGTAAAAAAACGTCACCTCGACATTTTCGAACGCGGATGAATAATTTTTTTATTTTGGAAGAAATAGTTCTAGAATAATGGGAAAAATATAATTTCCACAAGCCAAAGTAATATAGTCAATAAAGTTTAATGCGTGCAGCTATAGTGAAACCTGTATTCCCCACTCCGCGCATATCTCTCCTTTTCACTCTTTCTCTATCTCTGATTCTCTCGTGCACCATCCCATACAACTTTCCTGAGCCATGACATCATTACAGCTGATCACAGACTCGTTTTTAGCATTATAATATAATATTTTATTACATATTCTGTAAGAAGTGGTATTATATGTACCTATAACGCTCTAGCTTGTCTGATTATGTTTTCAAGATCCCCATACATGTATGCCCAATATGGGCCATACTGTATAAGTGGAGGCAGTTGAGTGGCAATCAGAATCAATTTGAAGTGAAGTTAGGCATACATTAAGTATGGGAAGTTATGTATACGTTAATAGATTACAAACTGGAGGAATTATATTCATAGTTTTAATAGTTCATTATCCAACCAATTTAAATTGAAAGTAAAAAATCTACATGTATGTCATATTTAAACAAATTAAGTCAGAAATATGTAACCATAGTAGGTAACTAAAGCTAATATGGACAATAAAAATCATTAATACCAGAAATTATATTATGTATTCCTCTAATTAAATTACAATAATGACCTAGTACACCATTAAAAGGTATTTAAATATTTTTCAAAAAGTATAGAGTGAAAATCCAACTAAGAAACAAATAATTTCCTAAATTAATTGTTTCTAAATAAAAATTAATCCCCAAATTTTGATATGTATATAATAGCTAGAAGTGCCAATGCTAGTGTTTTAGTAGAAACACCCTTTTTTAATGAATTAGTCTAATTCTAAATGGTTTATAAACCACGTTTTGCTCAACTAGAACTAAAGCAAAGCAATTGTCAGTAAAATGATCATTTAAAGGTCATATGCATTCATAAAACGAAAGTAAACCTTTGAATGCATGTATTTACCTTTAATTTATTGTTAAAATATGTAGGTACAGGGTGATTTTCAAATAATAGGATAATACTAGCAAGTAACCAAGTGCTTATCACAACTTCATTAAGTTTTCAAGGTTTTTATGATTATTTTGCATATTATTACAGCGAAAACTTGATAAAACTAATTTAGTATGTACATATAACTGTATAAAGTATAATATGAATAACTTTTAGTCATAAAAACTAAATAGAACTAAAATTTTGAAATTAACAAAAAAAGCTTTATGCTGAATGATATTTCAATGTAACTATATCGAAATAATTCTTACCAAATTTCTAAAGAACAATCACCTTGTACTTTGGCGATAGCAACAAATTAATCAAAGTATAAAAAGATTCTAGTACATACAAATTTCACATATTGGTGGACAGTAGAACCCTGTATATATAGACATGAGTACTCCGAATATTTGAGGGTATCACATTTTCCATACTGGCTAAATAACTACACAAATAATATATCAATAAATAATTATTATCTTATCAAAAAAAGAAAAGTAATTAAAAATGCTTAATTACTTACTTTTATTTGGTATTGATGATAGTGGTGCAATAAAAGCATTCTTCCAATGACAACTGTTGCTCTGATTATTTATATCTGACGGGTTCTTATCAATTTTATCAAAGGCAGGATTTACAGTTTTGGGCGGATCATTTTTGGCATCAGGATTTATGCGAAGGGTGCCACCCTTAAATTCCTCTGGCAAATCTTCTTCTAATGCCATTTCAATCATGTTCGAAAAATTGTTTTTGTTTACGTTGAATTATTATCTTGCTATGTTTATGTAACGTTTGTTTGGTTCGCGTTTCAATGTTAATTTATTGTTTATTTATACCTCATTCAACAAATGTCTGGTAAAATGCATGTCAAAAACAGCTGATCGTTTTGAACTTTTGTTGGGTAGGCCACACAAAATACGCAGACGTTTATCGATTTTGGTTGTGCTTTCGAAACCGTTTACGTGAAAATAACAAAATTAATAGTTTAGATACTAAAAAGGAATTTAGAATTTTTTAAAGCACGAATCCTTTTTTATTCTATATCTGCGGCATTAAACATTTTTAGTTTTTAGGTTCGTGCTGTGTATAAATATTTAATTTATCAACTATATTGATAAGGCCACGGTTCGTTAATAACGGCAGTCAGTCTCGGCTCGTAGTTTGTTCTACAGGGGTCTACTTTTGAAAGGTACTTAAGATATATAAAACATATTAAAACTTACCAAGTACTTTAGGTGATCCGATAAGTAGTATTCTTCCAATTTAGCACACTTTTTATTTATCCTTACATATAAGTACTTGTGTGCTACCACTGTTTCAAAATTCCCACTATGCATAAAAACGTTAAATTAACTTTACATCACATTGTTACATTGTAACTCTTATTTTTACTCTTGTTTTCATCTATAGGATGAACTCATAACCGTCTAATTCCAGAGTAGGGACGTTTACTTTTGTGATGAAACAATGTAGATGTTGCGGTGATATTATAGGGCTACTTTGTTACGTTATTCAACGTTACTGGCAGTTCCCAAAAATGATGCCTTTTTAACAAACCAAATGTGACATTCCTGTTATATCCAAGAAAGTATTTCTACTTCTTGTAGATGTTATTATAAAGCCCATAAAATAAAATCATATTAATGAACTAAATGTGATGATCATGACTATAAATATTTTATATATTTCATCTATATAAAACAGAATAGAAATAAATAAACTTGTTTGAAGTATAGGAGACAAGTTAAACTTCTATTTATATTCTAATCCCAGGAAATTTAAATAAAAACTATGATAAAACAATGGTCAAAATCAATATCAAAGGTAAAAGGATGAACTTTGATGATGATGACCATAATATCGGTTATGTAAGTAGCAAGCGATCATTGGTATCTCCATCTATGAACGCGGGACGAACTGTTAGGTCTGCCAGGTCTGCGATGTAATGACTAAAGATAGCCATCTTAAAGATGTGTAACTTGTACACATTACTGTGCTAACCTGTATGCGATATTATTGTGAGTTATACAAATTAACATCGTATAAATGTTTGTCACCGGAAGTAACTAAAAAGAAGTACAAAAGATGTTTATGTAACTGCTAATTGAAGTATTCCAGCGTACATAAAACTTCATTTGTAGATATATGCGAGGAATGTTAATAAATATGATGTTAAAATTTAAACATCTATGGGATATTTCAGCATTGTTTTAAAAATATATCAAGAAAAGTCTCTATGAGAAACGTTACGAAAAAGATTGGTAAGTTTCTTGTTTAGTGGGTTGTCTATGTTATCTACAATAGTTTTGTTACATTTATCTTCTAATTCGTTAAAACACATCTATTTGTTTTTATTATACACTTACCTTTAAAATCGTCTTGTATATGAACTTTTTGAACTTTTGTCTGCCTGAGTAAATTTTAAATCGGGAGTAGGCTTTTCCAAAGATTAATATGGCATTTTTCAGACAGCAAAGTTTTTAAAATCGGGGTTGTAGAAGCCTATCCAGTGGCCATTTCCAAAAAATGGGGCATCTGGAAACACCTCTAAACGACGACCTGAGAGTCTAGCTATCCTTAGAAGACACTTACAATCTCAAAAATCCCCCTACTAATTATTAAGACCATCCCGAACCCCAAAGGTAAAAACAAATACTTGCAGATTTCAGTGGCGGCTCGTGATAATACGAGATGGTAGTGCCAGATTTTTAATAAATGTGAAAACCCCGTCGGAGGCCCCTCACCAGAAGACGTTTAAAAAACTGGCTTTGGGCAAAAATTTATCACGGTATTGTCAAAATAGATATAAAATTTTAATTAAAAAAATAAATGAAGTACGGATACTTTTATATCTATTATATGACTACTATTTATGAGGTTTCTAACAAAAGTTTTGCCACGAAACAGGCCGTCAGGGTTAGTCATATCCTAAACTTTGCCAATAAATTAATCAAAACTTATCAAAGAACTCTGTAAAATTAATTAAAAATTATAAATTAACTTACCCCCAGTAATTAATACTGAAAGTCCTTGCAGTTTGTTATTACCATAAAGAGTCTTTAGGTTCATATACCAAAAAAATCACAAAAATAAAACTATACCTATTTACACTATTTACACACGCACACAAAGTTGTTTGATGTACTAGTTTTAAAGTTTCCGATAAATGAAGTCCATTCTTCTTTGTTTTTTGGTTGCATAGTTTTCAATTACTTTATTATTAACATTTTCAATTGCATTTACAAAATTTTATTCATCAAGTTTATCGAAAACAAAAAGACACACATTAACGTCACTAATAATACTTCGTAACGTAACGAAACACTTAAAACCGCCTAAAGAAATTCGGTTAATTTAGTCAACAATCGACATTATCGAGAAACCGCGATTATCTGAACAGCTATCGTCGCTGTGGCTGTGCCTGGCACAAATATTCCTTGATTTCACCGTTTAAATACATGTAAAATGTCCCCATCTTTGTTGCTTACATTGGCTGCTGGTAAAATATCTCTCTCTCTCTTTCTCTCCTAGTGCCAGCTGAGAACTGGCTCCGGTACGCGGCACGAGCTTGGAAATTTATGCAGCGCAAGGTTGCCACATAACAAATAATTTTTCAATATAAAAAGAAATGCATAAAATAAAATAAAAATATAATAAGACGTTTTAAATAGAAAAAATATATTTTTGCATCAAAAATAAGGTAGTGCCATGTTACAGTGGCACTACCTCACGAGTTGCCACTGGCAGATTTGACAAACAGGATGTCGCAGCCGGGGATCGAACCCTGAAATCTGTGTTTACTAAATGAGTGCCCTTTTCTCTAGACCATCCACGACATTAACTGTCGAGATTCCTAGACAAAAATTTGATGTGCTAGTTCTGACCAGACGGCGTTCATGCTTGTTGTTAAATCTTCTATACCTCTTTACAGCATCGATATTTATGAAAAATGCATAAATAAATATTTATTTGCATTATGTGTATGTAACTATTTTCAGAAGAAACTTTATTTATACTTTGGATTGATGAGTTTTTATGCAGCATAGATTCCAATTTTTCTATAATACAAGAATTCATTTTTATAAACTAAGTACAAATCTTTTAAGCCATGAAAATAAACCATTACAAAAAATACGTTAATGTTTGTTTAGACACAACTTAAAAGACCTTGAAATTGATCCTCCCACACTAATTTAAAATCATTTTATTAATTCCTGTATTACTCGCCAGTTGGAGCCCTCGCACTCAAATTCAAACTTTTCAAATGTTCAAAAAACTATTACAAACGAATAAAATGTAAAACGTTTTCTAATTTAATATTTTCAATCAGGTTTTAACTAGGTAGGTAATTTTTGTTACCAGCTCCCCCTCCATCTATTTATAAACTAAGACGGTGCAAAACGAAAAGGATTAAATTAACTGAGTTAACTGAAATTTGCAAATTAATTGCTTATCGATAAGTTTTAATTCGATATTTTATTAAAGCAGAATTGAATTTTGTGCGTGAGTAAATATAAATATCGCGTGGGGGCGTTTGGTTTAAATATTCAAGATAATAAAATAACAAATATTTACTTTTGTACCTAGGGTAGGTGTGTTTATTAATAAGAAATTCATAAATATTATGAGATAACTTTTAACAAGAATATCAAGACACAACTGTCACAGGGGCGCAAATGCGGGGGGCGATAGGGGTAATTATTACCCTCAAGAATTTTTTAACCTAGCTTTATATAGGTACTAAAATGTATTATCAAAAATGAAGTCTTAAATATTACCAGTACCACCCAGACATTAACTATATATTACCACCCCCCGCAGACCTAAACTCTGGATGCGTCACTGAACTGTCAAGAATAATGAAATCATTTACTATATTTTTAGGTAATTAATAACTGATAATCATGATTGGTACATTAATGCTATAGAGGTCTAATATAGGCAAGCTTGCCATGTATATTTTTCTGCTTTTGTACTGGATTCACAGACTGTAACTGCGAACTATTGATTCGTGATATAATCTACTAAAAATACAACTTTTGATATCGAGCATATGGATTAGTTTATGTGATTATTGATAATCCCGATACATCTCATATTTATATATGATAAGACGGCTTTATATACGTTTAGTACCTAAAATATTGTTACCATGCACCCTGCAGTAACCTGCGGCTGTTATAGGAAACGTACGATAAAAAAATAAGTGTAATGTCACCCTATAGTATGTTACGGTCGTCATAAGTAAAAGTATGAGTAAAAGAAATAGAGAAAACAGTCTAGAAATGTAATTTAGTGTCAAGAAACATCTGGATGGTTCGAGAAGGTTCTAGAAGGTTCAAGCGAGCCTATATAAGTCGATAATGCTGACGTCAGAGTTTTAGTTTTATGATAGACGTTTTACGTATCATGTTACAGAGTAGTATAGTTGTTAAAATAAATTGAGTTACCAAAAACCAGCGCAACATTAGTGACAGCGGTGGGATCTAAAATAAAAGTTCATGGTAAATATTAGATCCACTGAGTACGAAACAGGCATGGATATTTCAGGTCCCCCAGCATGGTTTTTGAAGATGGAAGAGGAGAAAGGAAGGCACAGGAAGGAAGAAGAGAAAAAGAAAAGGCGAGACGGGTAGATGGAAATTATGAATTGATTGCTACAAATTCAAGAAAATTTCAAGCAAGAGGTAGGCCAGGTTAACAGTCGAGTATATCTCTTCTTAGCCCAACAACAAGAGAAGTTAAAAACTAATTTAGAAGAGCAGCAAGAAGAGAATCTAAAAACTAATTTAGAAAATTTACAAACTATTTTAGAAGAGCAGCAAGAGAATCTAAAAAGTGATTTAGAGTAACAACAACAGAATTTTAAAGCTAATTTAGAGCAATAACAAGGGAAATTAGA